AATAGTTTTTTCAACCGAGTATGAATCTTTGCAGCGTCAATACTACACAACAATCTTTTAAAAAGTTTCACAAATTTCTTCAGAACCTTTGACAACTTTCCCGGACAATTCAAAGCGATTTTTCAGGAATTTTTCAAACGGAAAATACACATCATCTTTGTCACGATAGCACTGCATAAGCTTCCCACCGTCTGCGCTACAATGTATCGCAGTGACACCCGGTTCCTGTGGTGAAACTTAGACAATTAAAGCAAGAATCCAATAGCAAATTGGCGACTTTCAAGTCCATTTCTTTACAGCACCTGATACTCAAAACATTTCTAAAATTACTTCTAGAAATGTGAATAGAAAAGACAAAATAAGAAAAATAGAAAATAATTTAACCAAAAAGCTTTTCCCTAGTGGTTCAAACCGCAAGCAAATTAATCTGACTGAAAAAGTAACTCCCACCATTTTCAGCCACATTTCTTCATATTTTATACTAATTTCAATATCACTATTGCAGAACTCATTCCAATTTACGAAGAATATTTATAGACCTTAAGGTGACCAAAAACTTCCTGTAGGTCTTCTGTTCTGAATTCCTATGACGTCTAACTACCCTAAATCCTTGAATACACTATGCAGTCACCAGAGATTAACACGTAAAAACGTAATTTAGATCAGACTGCAAAACTTCACAAAGTGATTTTCCGCCCCAAATTCATAAACAAGATTTTAGCGACTACTGCCCGTAAGACCATGCGAAACCGCAACGACTGTTCATCAAACTCATGTTCGCAATTCCGAGAACTTTCTTTTGTTATCAACTTTTTGCAAGACTGATTCTCCAGTCCTTTCTATATCCTCTTCTAAACTGAACTTCAGAACGTCCATTCCCCAACATTAAAACCATTCCCCAACATTAAAAATTGACATTAAAACTGGTCCCACTAAAGCAGTTTACCTCGCGTCGCAGACTCCCAAAACCTAATTTGTTTCACCATTGAAATAGGAAACAAATTTTCACTAAGAAAGTACAAACAGTGAAGAATTAAAAAAACTATACAACCGTATCCTTCTTACCGAGTGGTGTTTAAAATCAGTCCTGTTACAGTAACAATGTATCCCATCCTCGTAGGTCGCAATTCTTTGTGTCTCGTGCTTCATTAAAAGCATAAATCCAACAAATGAGCAAAAGCTAGCAGTGTAAAGAGCATAACGAAGTTTAAAACGAAACATCGGGAACTGACTTGCAAAGCTTTGCACAAAATTTCAGTTTGCAACAGTACCGGACCTAGAAAGAAGTATTTAGTGAAAACAGCATGGTGAACAAATTCAAAGCAGAGGCAACATAGTGCTAAATTCCCGCACTATATTTAGCTTGCACTCGGAAAAACTGGAATATTTTAAAAGCTCTAAAATGATCCCTACTTCTATTATACTACTTTGCCACACAATCATAAAAGTAAATTTAGAGTGGTTTCCTTAAAATGCCATATATTTAACAGATGTTCAATAGGCTTTGGCAAATTTCTAGCAAGTAATCCACCTTTCAAAACAATTAAATAGCTTACTTTTTGAGGCAGCACACAAAGTATCTGTTGCATGACAACTTTTTAAATTCAGCTCCAAACCGTCAAAGTCCGCAAACAATAGTCGAGCACAACGCACAGTAGAGGACATACGTCCATTGATATTTCGGTTGAAGTGATGAAATTAATTTTACTCCAATTTTTTACGAGTTAGTTCACAAAAATGATTGGTCGCTGTCGAACCATTTCATATGCCCCTCGATATGTCTAGACTCAAAAAAGCTAAACACCAGAACAAGTATGATCATGCGAATTTGAAGAACATAACCACATCACATAGCATGGAAAACACCGTTAAGAAAAAGGTTTGTGTTCAAAAAACGGATTCGAGTCATACAAAAATCGACACGCTTCTCTCCTACTGACATAAAAATAGAAAAACATTGAAGTTATTGTACTCATCATATACAATCACCAAAGAAGCCCTAATACCGTGAGTAAAACCAGTGTTCAAAAGTCGGCGCTAACTGTCATCAAGTAGCCTAATTATAACAGCGAAGGTTATTGTTAGCAGATGAAAACGAGAAACTTTAGACACCACACCAGTTACCTTTCTTCCCATAAAAAGCATCAATATGATGAGAGAACAAGAAAGAGTATTAGAGTATCACCATGGTCTTCAAAAAAAGTGTCTGACGGAAGTTGATGCAACAGTGAAAAACGTCCAACGAGGGCTTAATCAAAATTTTGAAGGATATGAAATGCGAGATGTTTGGTATGAGAAATGTGTTTGGCGCCGATGGAATATTGCCAGCAGCTCATTCGGTAAAATTTTCATTAGGCCGTCTGGTTCACTATATATATTTTGATGAAGTCATCGACATACGTATAATTGTATAAATCGTGAGGTTTGAAACCATTATGTGGTGCTGATTGATAGGGTGAGAGAATACAAAAAAATCATAGTTTTAAGGCAGGAACTGCCTGAGTAAGCCGGTTTAGTTGTTCACTGTGAGAAAATGTGTTTCACTGGATAAGTCATATCTAACAGAAAGAAAAAAACGTTGCTGATTACCTGAGCTCGGGGAGTGGATAAGTTCAAGTTTTTGTTGTTGAAGAACTGTACTTTAGTTTAAAGACAACGTCTAATATAAGTATTATGATTAATGCAGTAAGATGTTAAAATGAACAACAACCTTTATTGTTCTTGGCAAGGTCTGTGTATACAGCAATCAGTCTGTAGGAGTGGCAATTGTATTAATGAAAACTGGCTTTGACCAAACTATTAAATGTTTTCGAACTTTATTCTTTAGTATTGGTGATAGCTTGCAAAAAATTCTAAACTTTTTCAAATGTCGTAATTTCTAAAGAAGAAACAAAAGCAACAGATTCAGAACTTTGATATAATTGTGACAGTAGGCATCAACTACATGACTTCTCAACTGTTTGAAAGGTTCATGTCTATGTATTTCACTTCAGGACGATTTCTCAATCTTTTTTTTATTTTACTGTGGTGAAAGCAGCTATATTTGCTAAGCCCCACCACCTAAATGCATAGTAATTTTAGAACAAATGAGAGCACTTGAATTTCCAGTGATTGTTGCCGAAAGTTTTGTATGAGCATCCTCAACATTTTTTAAATTTTTTTTTAACACTTTTTATTTTCATCTTCTACTTGCATTTCCTCCAATGCTTTTTGAACTGAGCGTTTCAGCCGTTTTTCCAGAAACCTCCTGATACTGTTAATTCCACTTTATGCTAACAAATAATGCTCATGTGCTATAGCTGCTACCTGAAAAACATCTCCGTTACTTGAGCCTTTACGCTACTGCCCTCCGATTTTCTAATACTTCCAATGATTTGTAGTGAGTTGCATAACTGTAAGTAAAAAGTGATATCATAAGAATCAAAACTTGCCAAAAAATTGATGGTATAGTTTCTAACTTCTTCGTAGTTGTTACTTTATTTGTAGAAAGCAACAAAAAATTGATAATTATCTGTAATAAAAGCTCTAGAGGTTTTCAAAGCTGAGAAGAAGTTATGAAAAGACTGCTCGGATAACTTATAACCTTTTCTTCGTTCAATATTTCTGCAAAAGTTCCAGTTTTCCTGGTTAACTAATATCGCAAACTTTGAATGATTTCTTCAGTTGCCAAGTTTTCTCAAATGGTATTTTGCTTTTTAGCTGCAGATTATTTTGGATGCTATAAAACAAGTTATGAAGCAATTTGAAAATAAAACGAGAGGTAAGAGCTGTGTTTTTGTTAATGGGATAAAAATTCTTATAGATGACTGGTATTTTGAAAATGGTAGAACTCGACTGTTTACTTATAAACAGTGAAGGTCTTAGTCTGTGTAGGTGAATATCCTTATATTTTTTTAGACTATAACATCTGAATAAAATTTCTTACATTTATTTTTGAAATCTATAATTACTGTTTTTGAATTTTTTTATTATCTACATCCCCAAAAAAGTTGTAAAGCAGTTCAGCGAAACCAGGAAATCCTGAGACACTATGAAAAAAAAAAAAAAAGGAATGAAATGAAGTAATGCCTTTCAGAATTGGAAGGATAAGATACTAAAATACAAAAGTTGGGAAATTTTTTTGCAGAACACTGACGTAATTCCTCAACCTCTTTAGTTTTATCAGCAGTACTTTACTGTTTACTGTAACGCATCTGTCTTCGGTTTGGTTTCCTTTGTGCATTAAAGATACTCAACATTTAACTATTTTTTCTTACGTTCTTAAAACGCTTTATTTGCTCTGAAATTTATGAATCTGTAATCGGTTAATCTGCTTTTTTTTTTGGCTCGATACTGCTCTGTCACGATAATATTCCGTACTACAGCGTTGACAAAAACAATATTGGCAGCAGTGTGCAAAACTAACCGTTCAGTTTTGAAGAACGTTATAACTTTTGTCGGTAAAAAACTAACATTTGTGCTATTATTCCTTCACAGCAGTTCCTCCGTTAATTGTGTTGTTCTACAAATTAAACGAATGAATAGTTTCTTTCTCTAGTATTAATTGGTACAGTACTTTTGGTCAAATTTTCGCTTTGAAAATATTATTTAATTCAAATCTAAACAAAAACTGTTTTCGTTTCAAGCAAAACTTGTGTTTTTGCTGCAAAGTGCTCCTCTTGAGGTTGCACAAAAAATTTCTTATACTAATTATAACTGTTTTCAAAAAAGCAATATTTGCTTGAGTCTTATTTAAGCTCTCCGAAATTCTGAACCTGATGATTTTTGTCAAGGAATTTGTAACCGAGTCAGATTTTGACAGAATGAAACGTTTAAAACTTCATTTTATTGTCACTTTACGTTAAACTGATTGAAGTTTGAGAAATTGTATATGCGTAGCAGACAGAGCAACTTTTGTTTTGTAACAGTTATGATATCAAAGAGAATAAGAATTTGTTTAAGCCTGAAAGTAAGATATACAGCGTATATTAAATACATAAAAATTATCTAAAACAGGATGTTTTTAAATGTAATATCAACCTCGACGATGTAATTAGGCAACTCTGTCTACAAAGTTTTACTTTAAAATCGGTCCCTTTTTTGAATCATCCAAATCCTTTCGAGAATTTCGCAGATAGAATCCGGTGGCATCGAACGGCAACTGTCTGATTACGCTGGAAAAAATGAGCTGGAAAGTATTCAGAAGTTGTTGGATCAGCATCAAGACTTCAGCAAAGAACGAATAAATGAAGTCATGATTGGTGTTTCCCAGAAAATAATTTTATCGCTTTGCTTATCAGATAAATTTTTTTTCTGAAGTAAAAGAGTGATAAACTTATTCGCAGCGTCGTCTTGAATACAAAATCTACCATTTCTTGCGAAAATTTATCATTATATAATGCGATACTTATTAGTTTATCTCATGACTATAAGAAAAAGAATAAATTAAAAGCTGAGATTATTCGCCAAGTGATCGAAAACTTATTTGTATACTTGCTTTTACTTTTATGTACTGCATTTCTCCTCTGCTGTATTTTCAGAAAAAGCCACTTTTAATAGCAATAAAAAGAGGTTTTTTTTGGAATTGTAAAGTTTCTGGTGGAGTACGGGACAGACGTCGTGTCAACAAACTTAAATGGGGTGTCACTTTAATGATAAATCTTATTGGCTGTGTATTTCTCGTGGTTACCAGTTAACCAATTATTTCTTGCGGTAGGCACAAAAGATAGGTTTTTTCTTGATCTTAACCAGAGATAGATAGGTTGAAAAAGAAGTTCAACCGAGAATAGCATAAAACTTCTCATATAACTGTCAATGTAGAAGAAATTACAAACGTGAAAGAGATAGCCTACTAAACTAATTAAAATTAACTAATCCTGGTACAGTGCGTTTCGCGA